AACAAAAGTTGTAGAAAAATGAAAGCTCTTTAACTTTGGTTTTATAACATTTTTTGTGGGACTGCTTTTTACAACCGCTTCTCTTAAGCCCTAGAGATTCCCGTACATTTCCCCTCCTAAACGTGGTGGTAGCGCCTAAACGGCTTTAGATAGAGCAAAACGGACGAAATTTTCGCCCAAAGGGCCGCAATTTGACGAGTTACCGCTTAGGAAGCATTCTTGATAGTTTTAAAAAATAATTGAAAAAGCAGCTATTTGAACAAATACCCAAAATGACCCCTAAATATGAATTTAAGCAAAAATCTTTGATGTGTCCTTCGATGACATATTTAGACCAACAATTTCCCAAAGTAGAATGAAAATCGGGAATTTACACTTGGCGGGGTTCCCTTGTGAGATGGGCCAAAACCGAGCATAAATGTGTATACACAAGTATGTGGTCTGATTGAGCCAGCGTGCCTTACACCTTCTGATCTCAATCACCGATCGCTTCTCACTCGCTAGTCGACTAGAGAAATGCGATGGTTGGACTTCCCTGGCTGAGTTGGCTTTAACTGCCGTCTCTGGTCCATGCTAATTTACAATTTCTTCTTTTATTCTTCTTTTGCACTTAATTTTTGTGCTCATATTCTTCTTGATTATCTTTGGATAGTATTTGTTTTCTGGTACTGGTTATCTTCTGTATTGATGACCTAACTTTTAGCATGGACCGCCAGTTCGTGGCGTTCGGCCTCTGGTGGAAAACGACGTCCCCGGCGTTGTCGGGTCGGACTGGATGATGGTCTAGTAGGCCGTCTGGACGATCTCATGAAGTCGTACGAACAAGCTCTGATGTCGGGATGAAAGGTCATACGAGAATTGGTCCACAACAGTGCACCACCCGGCGGGTCCCTACTCTAAAACATTTGAAAAGAAAACAACATTAACTCTCTATTACTTTTAAACATTAGCGTTACTATAAGCATTACCCACTGTACTCCCTGCTCAAGATAACTGCGTGGAGGCATCTCAAACAAATCCACGATCAAGACTGCTTGCCTGTATCTGCTGCGTATTACTAACGCAACCCACGTAAAATGACTCGCTAACAATAACGTAATAATTACAACTACAATTGTAATAATCTCATAAGAACATTAAGTACATTTGCACGTCCATTTGAAGGAAGTTATTCCCATCTGCAGAACAGATATAATGAATTCTTATAAATAAAGCCGTCTCGTGAGCTAGGAGGGAATTCTTATGGCTCTCACTTTAAAAGAAATATGAGTGTTCGAACACTGCAACTGGCTGGTATCTCTAGATTTCGAGCGAAACTTGTAAACTAGTCTCTAAATTTAAAATAAGTCCATTCTAGGACCGAGCAACGGTCTAGCAAACAATCTTCGCAGATTGACAAACGATTTCCTTGAAATTTTGAATAGGCAAATTTAATTCAAAAGAAGCAAGAATAACAAAATGATAAAGGAAATGACAACAATTTTTGGCCTTGCGGTGCCAATCTAAAATTTCTCCTAGCGCAAAGGCAAGTCTCATTTTGAGACGAATATCTCGTCGCAAAATGGTACTCTTACTGCAAAGAAAACAAGATTAGACATCATGGTTACACAATGGTAATGGCACAACAACTCCATGGAAGAAAGAAAACGAAAACAGAAGAAAAGATAAGAATCCTATTTGACCGAAATCAATACTTTCTAAACTCTTCCCCTGTATTTCAGAGTACTTCCCCTATAAATGCCTGGTAACCATAGTCTAACGTGATCTTGCAAAACGGCAAGATGCTAACGCGTGAGTGGCACTCAAGGTCCATTCTGCAATTTTGTCAATTTTCTCGAAAATCTAGCAAACACTTTTACTCTTATATCTCCATACTAATTCAATCTTGAATTGACATAATTTTCCGTGAACCTACGGCGGGCAACAGTTTCTCATAGAGGCTTCGTAATCGTCCGATTCAATTACCTTCTCACATCATAACGTCATTGATTCATTTTTCTTTTATAACCGATGAAATCCGAGTAATTCTTCCTTGAATGGCAATGATATTATCATAGTCATTCCCAGAACTTCTCATCTAGTCCAAAAAGTCTATTCGATAGCAATTGAAATTTTAGTCATTTTTGAACAGGCAAAGTCCGAGTTGTCCTTCCTTGAATGGCTAAAATCATTCCCAGAACTTCTCGTCTTGCCCAAAAACTGTACCAACAGCACTTGACATTTTTATTTTCTTCTTCAACCGGTAATGGCCGAGTTTCCTTCCTTGAATGGCGTAGCAACACATTCCCAGGACTTCTCGTTTTATTTATTCCAAGATCCAAATATTTTAGTAAACCCGTACTACCGCATTTATAAAGTCACGCAGTCACCACAGAAAACCCAAGTAGCCGTTGCTTTTCGGGCTCTGCAATTCTGCGCGTCTTGCACGGTATCTTCGTGTACGATTCTGCATTCAGGAATCAACAGGTCTTAACAATGGTCAGTTAACCGCAGCTAACAGCCGGCCGTAGCCATATATCATGAGTTTCATTTTCTTCTCAATATTCATATAAACCTTCATCCGGGTATCCGCCTTGGAATAGTTCTTACGTATCGTAAGAATTGAAACTATCCCGAGACTCCCCGTCGAGCTCGAAAGGTGTGGAATACGCACACACCCGATTCATTATTTCAATTAAATATCCTCTATCAACTTAACGGAGCGCTCCTTTTAAATGAAAATATATTCACACTGGTCAGAACATTACAACTCCCCGTCCTTACGCTACCTCGAACTATTTGGCGCCTAAATAGTCCCCTCCAAATTCTATTAAAAATACAGTTGAAAAGTTCTGATCAGCTAACCTATATTCATTTGTTGATAGTCCTTTATTTCTTTCAATATCATTTATCCATTTCTATTCCGTTACAAATCTCTCGTTTGTATATATTGCCTGTGTTCCTACTTGCTTCTTTATTCGCAGGTCAGCGCCCTCCGTCCGATCACTGCTGCTGCTACTGCTGCGCGCAAGTGAATCGAAATCTAACCTCTGCACTGCCACTGCAGAGGGGATGGTGCCTGTACCTCGATCAATATTTTCAGTAAAATTGGTACTTCCTGTAGCCTGGTTGCCATTTCTCAAATCTTTTTAACAAGCTATATGTCACTGACGTTATGATGGCATTCATTGCTTGGTTACCTCATT